TCTTCTGACGCTGCTGCTATTGCGCAATCCTGCGCGGTCGCGAATGGGTTAAAAACCAGTAAAAACTTGGAAGTGTTTATCAGTGAGACGTTACAATTAGATTTCGGTTGAGGCACATATAGGTTCCCTGCATAAAATGACATGTAAAGGCGACATTCGTGAGAGTGTCAGGAGAGCAAGTTACTATAAATGATACCACGCCATTTGAACGCGCTATCTCAATGAAAAATAGCATCTCTGATGAATCGCACTTTGTGCAGTGTGGGCATTGTTGAACATGAGACTTGAAGTTCTTCAATGAAAATCTGAGCACGGAATCGAAAACTACACTTTTAGTGAAGTCTTTGACTTCATATAGCAATAGGTTCTTGCTCGAGTGAACAGAGCTGCCGGAGAGAAATAACTGATACATGTTTCGATCAGAATTCAGTCGTGGATCTCAACGTCTACAAGAAAAGAAATCTGAACACTGTCAAAATGCGAGATAAATAATAGAGTAAACGTTCTAGTAGGCCTAAACTCAGTAGGAAATCAGCATATATCAGCATAAGAGAAGCTACGCATTCATAGGCTCCCCTCCCTGAAAAAAAAAACTCATGAGAATGTTACGCCTTTCTGAGGCGTTTAGTGTTAATCTCTTGAATTACCACATCAACAAATAGACAATTGAGAAGTGCTTGTAAATGCATGGAGCCACGCTATGATCGCTTCATGCTTCGAATCTTGTCCAGCCATGACTTCTTGTCCGGTTTCGGTAGGCGACTGGACATCGTGCCAGGGGGCGATCCACATGAGGCTCTTGGAGGATCGAGAATTTCCATTATAGGATGTCGTTCAGATGGCCTTGCACTCGTCTCTGGCTCGTGCTTCCATGGTTTTCTGAAGTCATTCTGATTGTGAGTGACAGCGAATGGGAAAACTGCTAATGCATTAAAAAATGACAGTTGGCTCAGAGCCAAAACCAATTCTGCTTCCTGCAGACACGCTAATTGCAAAAACGAGGACACCACTCTTATCACTTAATTTCCACGGATATGTATGTACGTGCTTTTTTCTCACAGTTTATGATAACATTAGAAAGAAGCACGAACGGTCGTTGCTAGTCAGGGCACAGCGAAAATTCAGTTTTTATGAGCTCGTACAATTTTTCAATGTTTTGCTAATCATTTACTACAGCATCTATGTACGTAGAGCTCACGAGATCTGAAAGAGATAAAAGTAGAGTGACCGAAATTAGTTACCTTTTGGGATGCGCCACGTATTCGACCTCTATTCAGAATCACATTAGGTCCACTTTATTCAGAACATCACATGGGAGCATTTCAATGCTAGGGGCCAAAACAAAGTGGGATGCCGATTCATGCATTGTTGTTGTTATTAACACTAGCCTCGACGGTTCGGTGCCAAGACATCTAACATATCTCTCAGAGCTTGTTTAACCTGGGCGAAATACATTTCAGGATTTGATCTTAGCAGCTCAACCGTATGTTCGTAATTTATATTCTGAAAGATGACGCCTTGGAAAACCCACCGCAACTTTGCTGTAGTGCTAGAGGTCAATCCGCAAGCTTCTTCTTTGCAAAACCTTGAACACAGCGCAAGCATACTGAACCGTGTATTTCACTTTTTTGCACTTCCGAATGTGACTAATCGTGAATGACGGTCGAGGAATTTCTACCAGTCGCTCCCTGCTTGCGAGAGTAGAGATCGATAGTAAATGCCGCGCTGTCCGGAGAGTCACGACGTGCTCGCCGGAAAGGCGCGACGAGTGAATATCGTTCGCGCGGAGCGATAAAGGATCAGTGCGGAAAATTCCTAGCACGTGCCGTTGAGGAATAATCGGGCAATATTCACCTATTGCTTTTCGGAGCAGTTTGCGGTGCAAAAATTAGGGCAAGTTTTTCAGGGTGTGCGCAAAACAAGCAATGGAGTAAATTGTGACAAATCCCTCATTAGGTATCTTCTTTCATTGAGTACCGGCGACGCTCGCGACGCTACACGCCCACCAGCGGCTGAGCAATCACGAAAGCTGCTGCTATTATCGTTATTGTTTGCTCTTCGCATTGAAACGACATTTCTTTTCAAACGACTGTATCTTTTCATGTTTTCAGCTAGTGTCATCTATCAAAAGATGATGTGGGCCAGCACTATACCAGCTATAAGGATCAACAGGGACAATCATGCTCGTCGAAATGGATGGCTCGTCCGAAGTAAAATCAGCGAGCGAAAAAAGGGTCCCATTTCTAGATTCCAGGCCGTTTTTCTTGGTTCCTACTTCCCCACAGCACCTTCGGACAGCTCTGCTCCTATTGCCAGCTGGCGACCATTTATAGTATTATGAAACCCGCGTTTGACACGCTCTTTGGTTCTACTCATAAATCGAGCAATGCCTTCCAAACTAATGAACATTGTCCGGTCCGAGATGCCCTGTGATTTGCACTCGCATATAAACCGATGACCATTATTTCACTTAGCTATGATAACTTCACCATACTACAGAAAGAATTGCTTCTTCAAACGCCTCCTCTCAAACATTCAAGCATGGAGAACATAGAAGGGTTCATCTCGAAAGCAGACGCATAGATTACAATTTTTGAACTACTTAATTATTCTCGCTGCCTATTCTGTGTGATACTGTACTTGTGGTTTATTACGAGTTCTGAATTTTTTCCCTTCTAGTATTCTAGCTTGATAGTTACAGTCAAATCAAACAGCTTACCGTTTTCCGCTGAATGACATAAGAAGGCGGTCTGATTCGTGTCAGATGAACAGGTGGCTGTCGTTGAATGCGCGACTTTCGATTTTCGGCTTCTTCATTCGACGCCACCCTTTCGCGTTCATCGCGCTTCCTTTCCTCTGCCAGACGGCGCATTTCTTCCGAATACGTTGGCCGGTCATGTGTCTCCATACTGTAACCCCGTTCCAGCTGACGCACTCTTTCCACTTTCATCTTCTCCGGGAGTTGATCGTAAACTGAAACTCTTGCATAGTAATCACATAATAAAACGGGTCAGACTTGGATAGCTCACTCACGTCGAAATGGTACTTTCTCTGGGAATTTCCTATTACTCACTGGAGTTGCCCCTGGACTATGGAAAGGCAGC